GTTTTGCCTTCTTCAGAGTTTGGATTGAATATATTAGCAACCTATCTCATCGAACACTTCAACAAATTACAGAACTATCCAATCCGCTTTCTCAACTGTTACTTCTGCATGACTACTTTTCCTTCAGCTGCAGCGTAATATGTAGATGACACTTGCCATTATATGATCAATCAATTCTATATTATAGACCAGCTGTAACAGTGGAATTTGTCTGTCACAGCAGCTGTCATAAATAGTTAAATTCTTCGAAAACCCTTTTTTCTTAAATATAAAGATTGGCTTCTAGTTATTTTGTCTAGTATTATACCCAGACAAGGAAACAGCACCCAAACAACTCTTCTCTCCTTGATTGGGACGCATTCACCTCCTGCAGTGTTAAAGTGGGTAACCGTTTTAAATCGTTCCAGAGACCCTCAAGAGGAGAAGAGGAGAAGAGCGGAGGTAGAGGATGCAGCTGGGGATGGAGGAAGTTGGGGAAAGTCTACCTTTAAGTTTACTGCAAAATTTCCCTAGGGATTCATGTTTGATTGATGGTATCTGTCAAACATGAGCAGTATCGTACTTGAGAGTGTTTGTGTTTTGGAGCGATGTTACTCCTAAGTTCTCAATATATGCCTTTTAATACACGATTTTGCTTGCCCTACATTTAACAGTTCAAATCTTTGCTTAATGATAAAGGAGACGGAAAAGTGAAAAAAGAAGTTGCAGTCAACTAATTTTGAATCAGAATAAGGCTACCTACCATCACCTCCAAAGAACCTTCCAAACCAGCTTTTTGTTGTTGTTGGAGATTGTGTAGTGTGACGCCCCCCAGATGATCCACCATCTAAAGAACAAAGGTGAGTAGTCATAAAGTATGGCAAGGTCTTTGAAAGTAATGTTTGGAAACGATATCCATGTTACTTTGGGAGATGTTAGTAAAGACAGAAAAGCATCTAAGTTAAAGGCAAATCTTTCAAAGCATCTGCTACCTGGTATGAGAACTTTGAGAATACTTCTGAGTCATATGCTCTTTATTCTGCTCTCTTAATTTATGCATGAGACAGAGTTGAGAGGACCAGGAGAGGAAGGAGAGGATGGAGAAGAAAAGGGAAGGAAGAGTCATTTTTGATTCTACCATTGTATTAGACCACCAATAGACTCATTACAATTACAAATTGTATTCATGTGTTTTTTGGTGCAAAAAGCTTTGAAGTTACCTCCGAATGAAGATCCTCCACTAGGTCGCTTTGCAGAAGTTGGAGGACCTGCAAATTTTTTGCTAGAGACGCTCTAATTCTATAAGATTATCTGTACCGTAGATATCTTGAATACTGGATATATCATCCGACTTCAGCTTTGGCTTTATATAGTTCCCTCGTGAGTCGACCTACGAACATTACGGTGACGAACAAAAATTTGATATCCTTGTCATACCGTTTCATGGTAGAATGGAGCCATGATGGATGACTCATCGCGTGAATGGGAAAGACCA